AGGAGATTGGTGGGTTTAGGGATCAGGGGGTGGAGATGGGTGGGTTTAGGGATCAAGGGGTTAAGATGTGTAGGTTTAGGTATATGTAGGGTGGGAGGAGTTGGATCTGGATCCAACCACGCCCCCTGGATCTTGTGTTCTGCAGTGAAGACCGTCTCGCGTACTGTGGTTCGCAGCGCGCATCAAAATGCCAGAAGTCACGTGATTTCAGTAAACGAGCCTTCGTTACGTCATAACTGTTTCGAAATTTCAATAGTTTGCCTTTTAGGGGCGATGATCTCCGTGAACTGGTGAATCATGCGAGCTGAGATCGCCCTCCAGCAGCGAACCAATGAATCAGCGTCTATGGCTATACGATCTCGGATCAGTTTGATCAATTTGTAGACATTTTTAATGAGACATTTGTGTTTTTATGCATGTTTTGGTCTGAGTTTTTGTTGCATTTACACAGTTTTGACCAGCAGGCGTCACCAGCGTGTGGTGTTTCGAGCGCTTCGAAACAGTGAATCATTTTGCGAAGCAATTGGTTCAATTGATTCGAAGCTTCGAAATGGTTCGTTTCTCTCGTCACTAACGGGTGGGGAGGCCACGCCCAGACACAACGTCACGTCTGTCAGCCAATTGGGGCTGGCGTAATGTAATAGGGCTTCTGAGGAATACGCGGAAGGGGCGTATCCCATAGTGAGACACCTCACTTAATGCTATCAGAGAACCGGGGTTACGCAAGTAACCTATTGTTTTTTGTTCACCTTTTCGCGTAGCTGTTTCTTTAATATCTGCACGTCGTTGATTTTTTGCGACTAATTTTACTTTTGAAAACAATGAATTTACGTCTCCGCCTCTCCAGAAGCGAATAATCTTCAATGTGCGTTTCCGAGCGCTAGCTGCGTTCGTTAAAAGTCATTGAGAAAGAGCGCTAACTAGCCGCTAGCCTTCACTTCACCACTTATAAACCATGATTGCTACACAAATGAGGTCTGACATGGGCAAAAACGCATCGGAAAGACGCTGTTTTACCTGCCTAACGAAATAGGAAGGCATTTCGCCCCGTCTGGCTTAATACGTTAGGGGTGTCTCATCGGAAGCAGCGTAGAGAAACTGGATCAGTCGCCTCACTTTACTGGATCTGGGACTTTAAATGAAGATCACACCATCAAAGGTGAGTATTTGACATTTGTAGAGGTCTAAGTGAATCGTATGGCCTTTGTTAGTTTGTTTACAACCCGCTTGTTTGCTAGAAGCTACAGGCTAGGTTGATTTGGCCTAGATGGCTAGCTGATTAACAACTTTCCTCACGTTAGTTAACGATCTTTGTTCATACGCCAGATAGCTTATCCGATCATCGGCATCTGCTTTTACACTCCCCAAGCCCCAGTATTGAGCATTTGTTCAGGTTTTAGGACAGTCTGTTAGTCGTTTAACAGGTACCCCGTGTAGCTCTGCTAGGTCAGCCTGCCGGAGCAAATGTGTGTGTATATGTGGGGTTTGCTCAGCCTACGATTTTACATAGCCGCAGAAAGTCAGCCAGCTGGTGATTACAGAAGTGCATCATCACATCACTCGGATGGGAGTGTTTGGCTGGTAACGCTGGTGGTGGAGGTGATGATGATGATGATGATGAAGCCCCATGACTAGCGTGTTGTCAGTTAGCCATCAGGCTGGTTTCCTGTCGGGGAGGGGTGCTGACATTAGGCAGCGATGTGATGCCTAACCATAGTTATCCAGCAAACATAGTCGCCTCACTTTACTGGATCTGGGACTTTAAATGAAGATCACACCATCAAAGGTGAGTATTTGACATTTGTAGAGGTCTAAGTGAATCGTATGGCCTTTGTTAGTTTGTTTACAACCCGCTTGTTTGCTAGAAGCTACAGGCTAGGTTGATTTGGCCTAGATGGCTAGCTGATTAACAACTTTCCTCACGTTAGTTAACGATCTTTGTTCATACGCCAGATAGCTTATCCGATCATCGGCATCTGCTTTTACACTCCCCAAGCCCCAGTATTGAGCATTTGTTCAGGTTTTAGGACAGTCTGTTAGTCGTTTAACAGGTACCCCGTGTAGCTCTGCTAGGTCAGCCTGCCGGAGCAAATGTGTGTGTATATGTGGGGTTTGCTCAGCCTACGATTTTACATAGCCGCAGAAAGTCAGCCAGCTGGTGATTACAGAAGTGCATCATCACATCACTCGGATGGGAGTGTTTGGCTGGTAACGCTGGTGGTGGAGGTGATGATGATGATGATGATGAAGCCCCATGACTAGCGTGTTGTCAGTTAGCCATCAGGCTGGTTTCCTGTCGGGGGAGGGGGGCTGACATTAGCCAGGGATGTGATGCTTAACCATAGTTATCCAGCAAACATTGCTCAGTCATGTAGTACGGGTTTAGACTTTAGCGTGACGATGGAAACGTTAAACGAGTCCTATCGAGCCCGATGAATGGCTAAGCCAGCTAGAGAGGTAAGGTCCACTTTACCTGTCACTATCACTCAGTATAACTCTGGCTAGTTTGCTCAGTGTTCACGGCTTTTTATCAAGTTTTTTGTAGTTAATGTAAAGGAATTGATGGCACGCTGCTCAGATTCGTATTTGTTCATCTGTGCAAGGCTTTCAGAAGGATGGTTTGTCTTTTCCAGATGAATAATGGTCTCTGACCAGGTATACAGTGCAGGTTGTAAGATTTCCCCCTCAGTGTCACCTGAAGGTTCAGCTTTGGTACTGTTAAATACATAATAAAAGTACAGCCGATACAGATATGGATGCATTATGCACAGAAATGTCTCTTAAATAGGGTCATGGTTTGTTGCCTTTGTTTCTCTGAGGTAAACTTTATTCTGAAAGTTCATAGGTAGATCAATGACAGATGTCATCGTTTTTTGTCCATCACTTCCTCCCACAGCAGTCTAAAAGAGTAATTGACAGTGGCCCTAGTTTAACAGGAGCTTTTTGTTCTTTCCTGTGATGCGGTTTATTTGTTTTGCACAAACCTTATTTCAGTCACACTATAGGAATGAGCTGCATGCATTTAGCTGGATATGCAGGAATAGGCCTACATGCACAAAAGGACCAGGGTCTGTACTGTCGCTTACACTTTTTTTTCTCTTTACACTCCATGCACAGTCCAATATCCCTTTTCTTTCCATCTTATTGACATTGTTTTGGAGTTTCAGTGATGCTGAAATCCAGCTAATCTGCTGTAGTGTTGTTTGAGGGCTTCTTTTTATTAGCATTTAGAAAATTAGTCAACATTTAGGTTAATTATAACTTTATGTAACATAGGGAATTTTAATTGGGGGGCGGGGTGTTATTCCTTTTTGAACACTCGAGTATGTTTGGGTAAAGTAGGTGAAGTTTGGGAGTAGTTGTGAACTTAGACTTGCTTGTAAAAATAGGAATTCAATGTTACCCAAGTTTGAAACAAAAAAAGCGATCAGAAAACAAAGTACAAATGCATGCACTACATGCTCAGTATTGAGATAAGTTGTCATTTTTTCTAAATTGTTCTTTTATTTTGATGTTTGTTCATCAAAGTTTGTTTGCAGCCCTTCTGTTCATGTAGGACTCAAAGGAGATTTTGATGGGGAGATTCGTTTGTTAACACTCATTGCAAGTGAATAAAACATTTTACAACTAATTAAGATTAAATTAAATTATATTGGAAATCATGCATCCAGGTTAGTTTTTTGCATCGGTTCTTGTTATGAAGCTGAAACTGTTGTGCATTTATGCACACCGTACTCTATTGATCCCTGTGGTAGTATTTGTCTAATTCAGTATTCGTATGTCACTGTGTAAAATGATGGGTAAAGTTGAACATTGTTTAGCACGGCTGCATTTAGTCACTTTGAAATTAGTTTGAAGTGGAATATCTACTAGGTAGCAAAAAAAACCCAACAAGTTGTTTTCTTTTTTGTGGCTTAGTTTGTCTCAGTTTGCTACGTTTTTGTTCTTGTGGTCCACACCAAATAAGTGGAATAATTTCTGGGACATGCAACACATTTTAACTTTGCAGTTTGAGAAGGTGTCACTGGCCATTCTGAAAGCCATAAATTACAGGGAGCTGACCCACTATTACACTATAAGAAAAGACCAGTTATGTTGTTACAGAGCTTTATTATAGATTGGAAAATGTCTGATGTAAAGCCATAATTGTTCTTGTTGCATGTGCATTCAACATGTTTGGCATTGTTGTGAGAAGGTGATTTATTGATCACAGTCCCTTACTGTACAGTAGTCCAGGGATTTTGTTGTATGTTTGATGTTTACCTGGCCTGACAATAACCAGACATGCCATGGAAAAAAATTAATTGAAAAGGATGAATTAAATGTCAAAATCTCATGAAGATAATTTATTATTTATTTTTATTTGGCTATTACAAAACATATATCACTAGTCTTTGCTAGTGTTGTTTTAGGTTGTTAAAAACAAATCTTATAATTAATTTATTATTATTATTTACTTGAAAACAGGATAATCATAGATCAGTAAACAGAAAAAAAATGATAATACCTTTTTTGTAGTTTAATCAGATTCAGAAATAAAATGTCAATCTGAGTAGTACACGACATGTCAAATCTGAGTGACAAGCAGAATAGTGAAATACACCTCTGAGGGTCATATTTAATGTTTATATTTTCAAAGCCTTGTTCACATATTTTGTATGTTACCAACTTTATAATTTTTTATTCAGGCCTATAAATTCTTATTTTAATTTAGCAGTTATAAAGCTGCTTATAAATCACAAAGAAACAGAACTCTATATGTAGTAAGAGGGTCTTCTGTGGTGCAGAATGTAATGTTGTTTCTGTTTGTACTGTGACATACATCAGTTTTTCTCTAGGTGAACTGCATGCAGTCCTTGACAACATGAATCATCAAGCCCATATTGAGAACTATGCCTTAGCGGAACAGATAAAAAATACACGTATCTCAATATTTTAATGTACTTTTTTCTTTAAATATATCATCAATTTAAAATGTTTATGTTGGTAAATGAATGTAAAAATGTGCTGTAAAAAATGTTTTATCATTTCATAGGTTTTTGTCTTTTGAATCTTTTGAAATGGTTGTATTTGAGGCTGTTGAAGTGTTTCCATCCTCTGATATTTTTTTGGATCGCATGAATTCTTTGCCCTGCCTTAGTTAGGTCAGCTGAATCATTCTCTGCTCCTACACCATGAGTGGGGTCTGAGCTGCTATTTTGCTGTCAGGCTCCAATGTGGTGGATGCTTCATCTAAGTGTGCCAAAGTTCAATTTTATTTCTTGTTTATTTCTTGTTTTCTTATTGGAAAATGGGAGCAGCTCTGCCCTGGCAACAAAAGTAGGCTATTTGCATACTCTTCTGTGATTGGCTTGAACATTGATGGGCTTGCCAAATCACACTGTATCTTCTTGGTGATAGGCTATGCTAATTAGGTGCTGTTGCTGGGATTCTGAATAGTGGTGGGATTCTGTGTGGCTGTGGTGCATTGTGTTGCCTGGCAAGAGATGCTTATATATGAGCAAGCTCTTTATAATTATCACAATTTACAGCTAAAAAAGGACAGATTTCTGACCAAATATTTTTGTAATTGACATGAAATTTGCAATCTGTATAGTTATATTAAATGATTTTGTCTTTTTGTTGCTATGGTTTAATTGTTAGTGCCTTTATTTTTCTGGCATTCCTCTAATAGGGATGTTTTGCTATATTCTGATAAACAAGATTCATAAATTCATAGATTGTTGTACTTAATTATATATTCGCTTTCTATTCTATTGTGTTTTAGTTCTAGTGCTACAAGCCTATGCTTTATTTTTGTTACATAAAAATTAGGGGTGTAACGGTACACGTATTCGTACCAAAAATTTTCAGTATGGGCCTTTCGGTTCAATACGCATGTGTACCGAACAAATACAGCATTGTTTTAACCACTGCACGAGCAGAACTTCATTGGAAACTTCCAGTTTTATATATTGTTGCTTTTTAATTTCAAATTATGGCCTTTTTTCAGGAAATTCAAACAATAAATGCCGTTTTGGCGCTTTTTGATGTGGCGCGACAGATTGCTGTAAACCTCAGTTCAAACCAGTGTTGCCAAGTCCGTGGTTTTCCCAAAGAATTAGGCTATTTAACACTGTTGCCGCGGGTTGTTTTTCATGTCCGTGGGTTGAAGCAACTCCAATAACATATTTATCCCCTGGAATGTGAATTTTAGCAGGGGAACCCTGCCAAAAAACATGTATTTTACCCCCCGGAACGCGATTTTTAACTGTGGACCCCCTCGAAACACAATTGGGCTAGTTTTGAGTAGCGATTGGGCGGGTTTTCTTGTGAAAACCTGGCAACCCTGGTTCAAACTGCAGCGCGGAATGCGAGTGAGCGTGATCATCCCTCCTCTTTACTATTAGTTTTAATGCGAAATAAACATGAATAAACATCTCACGCCTCACGTAATCGCTCAATCAGTGTTTCGACCGCGGAAAGACGACAATAAAACGGCTTGTAAACAAAATGTTACATAGCATTTCATTTATCAGGAAGTCATCAGTGTCCACAGCTCGTTAGTGTGTTATAAATGAAGTGCAGAGAAGAGCATTTCGCGAAATATTAGACTATATAGGCCTACTCATTATATTTTACTTTACCTGTTAGTGATGTTTTAATTATTTAATGTTTAAAGAAATCTGTTATGAAACGAGTTATGAGAGGCACTGTGTAAATGAATATATTTCAACAACAAACAGAATTTTTATAATTTAGAAGTTAATTTAAAAACTGCATTATGTGCAATTTACATGTTTGCATACATTTTTTTTTTTTTTTAAGTTAAGTGTTGCTTGTTATATTTAAAAAATAAATAGTGATTAAATTTAAGTTTGGGCTCTGTTGTTAACTGTGACCTTATAGTAGGCCTAATATAAAAGGGCTCACTAGTTTAGAGCATAAGCTGAGGTAGATTTTTATCCCTAAGAAAATGTATTATAACTTGAGTTTATTTAAAGAAAGATCAATTTGTTCAGTAAACCACTGTTTAATTAAAAAATAGTTTTTCCCCCTGCTGTACCGAAACCGTACCGAACCGTGACATCGAAACCAAGGTAATGTACTGAACAGTGATGTTTGTGAACCGTTACACCCCTAATAAAAATCTCAGAGATGGTTTTGCTCTCCTAAAACAGAGAGAAAAGGATAGTCTTAATAACCTGAAAGAGGTTTGCGGTTCAAATGATCACAGGGAGAGAGGAGAATTTAGTTCTAACACTCACACTAATTTAGCTTAAATTTCCTCTAGGGGGAGAGACCTCAGCATGCAAACCCTCGTCTGTCCGGCTTGCACCCTCTCTTTCTTTCCATGCTGCTGGTCTTCAGATGGCTGCTCCCATGCCTCATTCGCACCAGCAGTACAGTGACTGTCAACAGCAGAGTACAGACCAGTCTGTCACTGTACTGCCATACAGTGATCAGACACAAGCACTCACTGCCAGCCAGGTACTGGATGCTCCGCTCCTGTTTATGCACTTAGTTTTTTTTTGCATCGTGAATAATCATGGATGAAGTACGCTCAATTATTGTGCTTTGTAAAATTAATTCTTCCTGTTACTTGACACTTAGTCTTTGGATTATTTTACCTCTTAGTCAAAAGTATGTGGATTTGTTAAAAAAAAAAACTATTAAATCTACATGTTTCCCCTTCTTTTATTGCAGAGGCACATGCCCCAGTGCTTTCGTGACCCCACTTTAGCTCCTTTGAGGAAGCTCTCCATAGACCTGATCAAAACCTACAAACACATCAATGAGGTAATGTTTCTTTATTTTCCTTGCAGTAGTACAGCGTAAAATAAAGCTAAAAAATAGTAATAAAGAACAAAATTATACTTGATCATAAGTAGACATATATCTGAAAAGTCTTTTAGGAAGTTTTCACACTAATAAATTCTAAAGTTATGAGCACAACAATGCTCAAGGACTTTTGTATTGAGTCTAATGCTGTGAAGCTTGCTTGCTCTCCTTTGTATAGGTGTATTATGCAAAAAAGAAACGACGACATCAGCAGGGTCAAGCTGAGGACTCCAGCCACAAGAAAGAAAGGAAAGTCTTCAACGATGGCTACGATGATGAGAACTACGACTACATTGTCAAGAATGGGGAAAAATGGATGGACCGCTATGAAATTGACTCTTTAATTGGAAAAGGGTCATTTGGACAGGTATGATGTCTAGAGTCTCTTAAGTAGTTTATTTTGGAAAGGAAGAAAACCTATTTCAAGATTTTAAATGGTAGGAAATAGGGATATTATCAGCTTTTGCCCTGACAAAATAGAGGCTAAATTATTGTTCTGGACTTGGAAAGCAAAATCCATAGCTGCTAAAATTATGCACTGTGTAATCATTATTTCAGAGTATTTTTTATATCTTATAAGTAAACAAAACTTAAGTATTGTCTTATGAATGTAATCGATGGCTGTTTTTAGGTTGTAAAAGCTTACGACCGAGCTGAGCAAGAGTGGGTAGCAATTAAGATTATCAAGAACAAGAAGGCCTTTCTGAATCAAGCTCAAATTGAAGTACGGCTTCTCGAGCTCATGAACAAACATGACACAGAGATGAAATACTATATAGGTAAGGAACCTGTTCAGTTCTTTGATATAATTTCAAAATCTTTGCATACAGTGCATTCCTTCAAATTTAAATCTAAAAATCTTAATGTATTTTGTTACTTTTTTTTTTTGCCTCAGTACATTTGAAATGGCATTTCATGTTCCGGAATCATCTTTGCTTAGTATTTGAAATGTTGTCATACAACCTGTATGACTTGTTACGGAATACGAACTTCAGAGGTGTCTCTTTGAATCTGACACGGAAGTTTGCCCAGCAAATGTGTACAGCACTACTGTTTCTCGCTACACCTGAGCTCAGCATCATCCACTGTGACCTAAAGCCAGAGAACATCCTGCTATGTAACCCCAAGAGAAGTGCCATCAAAATAGTGGACTTTGGGAGCTCCTGCCAACTGGGACAAAGGGTATTGTGAATCGTCTTATTTTTTGTATGTGTGGAAAGTGTGGAGATTGTCACAGTATGCTTAAAGTTATTGATTACGTATTCCTCCTCCATCAGATATATCAGTACATCCAGAGTCGATTCTACCGCTCCCCTGAAGTGTTATTGGGAATGCCATATGACCTGGCCATAGATATGTGGTCTCTGGGATGCATTCTGGTGGAAATGCATACAGGAGAACCTCTATTTAGTGGAGCCAATGAGGTAATGAGCTGTATGAGTTGGTATTAATATTATTAATGATGATTATTATTATTATTATTATAACTAATGTTTCCCGTGTCCTTAAACACCATGAATACAAAGTTTTATGATTGACAACTACATTGATATGTGGGAATAAATCCCCTAAATTATTGTTTAATGTGTGTACAGAATACAGGAGTTAAAACGGAATGTTATAGTAAAAAAACATAGATAAAACAAACGGTCACACTTTATTTTAAGGTCCAATTCTCGCTACTAACAAACCATTAACTATGACATTTCCCTCAAACTGCAAATTTTCTGCTTATTTATAGTTTGTAAGATAGTTGTTAAGTTTAGGTATTGGGTAGGATTAGGGATGTAGAATATGGTCATGCAGAATATGTGCTTTATAAGTACTAGTGCTGGGCAATGATTAATCGTATCCAAAATAAAAGTTTTTGTGTACATAATATATGTGTGTGTACTGTGTATATTTATTATGTATATTACGGCTTCTCGAGCTCATGAACAAACATGACACAGAGATGAAATACTATATAGGTAAGCAGCCTGTTCAATTCTTTGATATCATTTCAAAATCTTTGCATACAGTGCATTCTTTCAATTTTAAATATAAAAATCTAAATGCATTTCTTTTCTCAGTACACTTGAAACGGCACTTCATGTTCCGGAATCATCTTTGCTTAGTATTTGAAATGTTGTCATACAACCTTTATGACTTGTTACGGAATACGAACTTCAGAGGTGTCTCTTTGAATCTGACACGGAAGTTTGCCCAGCAGTTGTGTACAGCACTACTGTTTCTCGCTACACCTGAGCTCAGCATCATCCACTGTGACCTAAAGCCAGAGAACATCCTGCTATGTAACCCCAAGAGAAGTGCCATCAAAATAGTGGACTTTGGGAGCTCCTGCCAACTGGGACAAAGGGTATTGTGAAGCGACTTATTTTTTGAATGTGAGGAAAGTGTGGAGATTGTCACAGAATGCTTAGAGTAATTGATTACGTATTCCTCCTCCATCAGATATATCAGTACATCCAGAGTCGATTCTACCGCTCCCCTGAAGTGTTATTGGGAATGCCATATGACCTGGCCATAGATATGTGGTCTCTGGGATGCATTCTGGTGGAAATGCATACAGGAGAACCTCTATTTAGTGGAGCCAATGAGGTAATGATCTGTATGGTTTATTATTATTATTAATAATGATGATTATTTGAACTAGTGGTCGACCGATAGGGTTTTTTTGACAGCCGATGCCGATATCTTGGAAAGCAGGGTGGCCGATGGCTGATATAAAGCCGATATAATTTTATTTATTTTATTTCATATTTAAGAAATTTGAAATCATTTGAAAATGGATACAAAAATAAATGTGTAAAATAAACATGCTCATACTTTAAATGACAAAGTATTTTTCACAAATAAACAAATATTTAAAGGGGTCATATGATGTTGTGCTAAAAATAACATTATTTGGTGTATTTGGTGTAATGAAATGCGTTTATGCGGTTTAAGGTTCAAAAAACACA